TGGTGTCCTGATCAAGCCAAGAAGACTGGAGGCGGAAGCAAGCGCCAGTAGCTGGCGCGGCCGTAGCCGCTCCTATGCGCGCCGTCGCACCTGCTGCAGATCCAGCGGACTGGAAGTACCACAAGGTAAACCGCCTTCTTATTTGGAACTAGGGTTGTCAACTTATCCCGCCGTCGGCCGATTTTCGCCAGCAGTGAAGTAGGTTTTAACGTGATGCCCAGTGCTTCCTCCGTTGAATTTTGTTGGTTTTAATAATGGCGTGATCACAGGAACATGTGGAAATAGCTCGCGCTTTTCCAATGTCATACTACTTTAAAAACAGGGCAATAAATGAAGGTCTCCCCCAACCCCGGTCACCAACTTTGGTGCTCATTGCGGATGCTGGGGTCAGCCAATGCCGCTACCATTAGCCTAATTATGACCCACTGACAAAGATCAATTTATTTTTCTTTCCTTCGCCGGTCAAAGTGCCGCGGATTAGGTACAGTGAATGGCTTAGATCATGTGGCAACAGACAGCGATTCGCGCTGGTGGGCTGCATTAGCCGCGTATATTTCATGGACTTTGGCCAACCCCCACCCAGCTGCTGCTAGCGTCGCTTGTGACCGAGACTTTGGTTCGGGTTGTATCCTTGTATCCTGTCCTTTTTTCTCCGCCTTGTTGCAATAGCGCTCGGTGACTGCCGAGCCAACTGCCTGTCAGTTTGCCGCTCAGTCTTGCTTCTGGTGGTCGTGCGGTCAGTCGAAGGAAAAACAAAAAAATGGCATCGACTGAACCGGGCAGCGGCGGTAGTAGTAGCGGCTTTATTAATACTGACAGGCAAATGCTGGCAGAAAACAACTGTGCCTGAAAGACAACAGTTGTTTCGGGTCTATTCAGCGTTCCAACTCCTGTCGCCGGAGCTACCTAATTCAAATGCTGAGCGCTTAGATCCAAATCAATGAGTCAGCAGTGCCGCGGACTAGATTCCTCTTAATCCTCCTCCTCCTTCACCTCCTCGTCCTCCCCTTGTTCCGCATTCGGCTCTTCCTCCTCCTCCTCCTTTTCCTCCTCAATCTTCTTCTAATACTTCTGTTCATCATCATCAGCACCATCTTCGTCGTCGTCTCCGTCATTTCCATCCTCCTCTTCCTCAACACCCAAGTATTCCGTCTCATTGTCAGAGAGAATCCTACATCAGATTCCCTCTCTCATGAAATGTCAGCCGACATCCTGAAATATGTTCTCGATTCAAGCATAAGTATGGTTGTACTGTCCTGCAGCCTAATCCCAAGATAGTTCACTCGCATCAGGATGTTGAATTTTGTAAAAAAAAGACGCCCTTTGGCCACCTGCAACAAGCATATTCCGTAAAAAGATGGCTACTTTTTTCAAATGTTTTTTATCAACGACTTTCGGTGGCCCTGTTAATAAAACTATATTTTTTTTATCGAAAATGTACACAAAAATATCTTTGCGTATACAGTAGACGCCAAAGATCACGCAACAGTTCGACATATGCGAAAGACTGATACTCTTTCGCTCATCGGCATCGACTCAAGTTGTGAAACTGTTTATCGTGTAGTCTATTCTGAAGTCAATTCAATCAGGATAGGAACCCGGAGTTTTAAAGAGCTTCGTTCCGACTCCTAGCAAAACGTATCTATTGAAAAAACTGACTACTTAAGTAGTATGCCTTTTTATCATTGATTTTGACTGTCTTTACAAATTCAAATATATTTCATGGAAAACATAGACAAAAGAATTATTTTTTGTTCATGTTTGATAAAAAAATTACGCCTTCTTTAAATTTTATACTTGAAGGAAGGGTAGCTTGCGGGTTTAAAAAAGTTGCTAATTATGAGCTTTTCTACAACTGTGAGGCGTTT